GAGGAGGGACTGGAACCAAGGGGGGGGATCGGCCGAACTGCTTCACGTAAGGGGGCACAGCAGAATGTGCCCCCGCGGAAGGGGGGGGCGGCAGTATCATTTCCTTCTCAAACCGCGCATTTCCTGCACTTGCTCAGATGCCAGAGATCGTACGGGAGGACAGTTTTTCTCTCATTTTCTTCCCCATAGTATGGCGCTTCCACTGAATGCCGTCGTTGCAGGCGGTTTCTTTACCTACCCTACGGCGGCCTTGCCCATCACAGCGAAATAACACGACAAGCTCCTTCGACATCACAAACAACCGCGCGGAGCACTGCGTTCATACGTATGCCCACGTGACACGTAGCCTGGGCCGGGGAAACCCCGGCATAACGCTCCGTCCCAGCATTGTAGATATGCGAGGTCAACGGTGGAACGACCACGGCATGCGTCTACAGTAGTACAATCCCCTCCCGTTAGCCGTGATAGCTTACTCACCACTGCCTCCTGCCACCGCCCACCGTTAGCGCACGCCGTGATGGCCGCGGAGTACGCTGAGCAACAACAAAAAAAAGGACGAGAAAGGACGAGAGCGATCAACGGCAGAGGCAGCACACTGTGAGTCAAAGGCGAGACCAGGGTCATTCCACCGACGAAAAGCAACACTTGATAGGACACAAAGCAGCGGCAGGGCACGCGAAGAGGGCGAGACAGCACTCAACGCTTCAGTGGTTTCAGCGCGGCAGGGTTTCTAATAGGGGTCGCCGTGTGAAGCTAGTTGGGGTGTTGCCAGGCCGGTCCGACATCCGCGGTTCTTCCAAGAACGGTATCGGGAACAACAACTTCAAAGCGACCCTCCAAGGGTTTCTTCCGGGTACGGTAAGGTAGGCAATGAAGGGCGATGGAATCGCGTGACAGATGGAATGGTGACTTGTCTCACATGTCGTACACCCTCAGGGGCAACGCGACACATCGCTCTCTCTCTCTCTCTCTCTCTCTCTCTCTCTCTCTCTCTCTCTGTGTATGTCTCTGTGCATGTGTGTGTCTCTCTGTCTGTGTCTCTCTCCTAGTTCCCTCTCCCTCGTGCCTCTATGCATGTTTGTGTCCATCTGCCCGTGTCTCGACTGTCTCACCGACCACGTCCAGTTTAATCTCGTCATCCTCCTCCATCTCCCGCAGCAGCACAAGGGCCTCCTGCCACCTTCCTCCCTTCGCGCACGCCGTCAATCCGATCGAGTAGCTCTCCACCGAGGGCCGAATCCCCAGACCCGGCATTCTCCTTAGGACGGCCTGGGGGGAAACACATACCAGCCAGGCGAAACTGCTATCAGCCGTTTCAAACAAAAAAGATGCCGCCTAAAACACCCGTTTTACGAGATACAACAAGGGCAAGTCGACAAGAACCAGGCAGGCGGCGCTACTGTGTTGTCAGCGCTTTCGTAAAAACGAAAATGCCTCTTAAAATGACTATTTCACGAGGTACAGCCAAGGTGCGTCGTTAAGAACCAGGCAGGCGGAACTCCTGCTGTCCGCCGTTTCATGCAAAAAAAAAAAAGACCAACAATATGACCGTCTGCACTGATTGGCATGGAGCCATATCAACAACTAGCGAAAGACAAAGAACGGGTGCCGAAAACTAGACGCGCTTTCCCTACGACTTCCTTGGTGCCATACAATTCCAAGGACACGCAAGAAGTGATCGCCAGCGGGGAAGCGACCTTAATATAATACCAGAACCTACAACTAACACGCGGACTTCTCGATATTTCTTGCTCCCCCTTCGCCCTCCCCCTCCCACACCAACAATACTCTGCGTGGCTTTCCCTGCCAAGCACGCTTGTAGCGACATGTCGCCCCACCAGGCAACAGGCAACACAACAAACAGCCAAGGCGCAACTCCTCCCCGGGGCCGAACAGTCTTCGCGAGAAACTTTGATTATGAGGAAATAGAACAGGGAGGGGTTACAGTACGCAGACCCTATCCCTAACGGTAACCCCAACTTAAGCTTTGTTCAACATGTTCACGACATCCAAATACCCCGTCGAGGCTACTGCTGTAACCGAACTTCCCCCGATTCTATGCTCTATTCAGCGAGTTCACTTGAATAATCGAAACACCCCGCGAACGATACTGCTCGGGGCTCGGCCTACCAGCGCTTGCTCCCAGTCTCCACCGTTGCCGCAGGCCTTCATGAGGCAGTCGAAGCTGATGCGGTCCGGCTTAATCCCGTCCTCCTCCGACATCTGCTTCACCAGGTGCAGGACCTGCTTCCACTCCCCCGCGTCCGCGCACAGGGACATGACCGTGTTGTAGATAACCACATCAAGCTTCATCCCGCCGCCATCGGTGTTGGCACCATCGCTGTCAAATGGGGGGGGGGGGGTCAGTCGGGGCACGGACACAACCGATGCTAGCCTTGTGGGCGAACGCGTTCCTGCAACACCTTGCGTCAACACAACGCCGCGCTATTCTCCCAAATTTGAGACTCCGTTGGGGGTTGTCCCCGGAGACTTGACACTCTGCTCGAGGTCGGGGCTTAACAAGCCTCCACCGGGAGAAAACAGAAACCCCGAGGGTAGCATACAGAACGCGCCACCACTGAAGAACCTCTAGATTCGGCCGAGGCTGGGGTTATTAGTTCCTAGGGTCATGCTGCGAATGGTCGAAATATAGGGTTTGGCTCCAGTTCTTAAATTATGTTTAGTATTAGGCTCATTTTTTTTACCCGTGAGTTCTCAAGTGGTGGCGCGTTCTCTATTTTAGGTCGGACTTGACTCATCAACAGACCGGTCATGAGATGTGAATTGTTGGAAAGAGTCGTTTTCTTCAAGAGCGAACGAAAATACATAGCTACCGGACAAACCTGGCGTTGAGGGCAGGAACCAGATCTCCGCCTCGTCTGCTGCTCTACCCTCAAAACACCACTATGGTATGTACAAGGTGCAGCAGTAGTGGGAAGAAGTTGCCGGCCCTGGTCATTGAGGTACACAAAAACCAATCCAACCAACAACCGCAATTGCACAAACAGCACAAAGAGCACAAAGAGCACAAAGAGCACAAACAGCACCGCCAAGGAGCATACCTAACAACGGCACCAATACACAGGAGGAGTAACGCCAGCAACGACATACACAAGCCGAAATCAAACCATTACACTATTCATAGTCAGCGCCACTAGTCTACTTGGATTGATTTCGGCTTGTAAATACCACGGCACATATTGCGGGGGAACTAAACAATCTGTTATGATCTTCTCCCACGGCCTACCTGCTGCCGCCGCTGCCCCGTGCCTCCGAAAGGATCTGCATCGCAACCCTCCAGTCGCTGCCGCCGCCGCCGCAGCACGCCGAGATCACGGCCGAGAAGGTGACGACGTCGGGGCTAAGCCCCTCCGCCAGCATCTCCTTCAGGAGGCCCACCGCCCTTTTGCCCTGCTTGCTGCGGGCGCACAGGGTGATGGCCGAGTTGTACACCTGGTGCGGTGGGGCCAGAGACGGCGGGCAGACATAGCAAAGACAAACACCAGCCGCAGCAGCGTAAGTTAGTCCCCTTTTGTATGCGTTACTTGCATCCTAAAAGCAGCAGCAGCAGCAGCAGCAGCAGCAGCAACAGCAGCATAGCTTTGTCCCTAGTGCATGATTTTACGGCATCGTAATCTCATGTCATTTCCTCTTTCGGCGTCTGCCCTTCGTCTCCGCTGCCCCGGCTGCGAGACCCTTCACATTGGTTGGTGTGTTTCATTTGCGTTGCGGAGAGCCTGTCGCTGCCCAAGCAGCCGACGTGAAAGACTGGCAGAGTTGGCATACCGCTGCAATACATAGGAAGAAACAAAAATTATGTTGGTTCGAGAGAAAGGTGGGCCACAGGCGGCTGCATGATTCAAGCTGGGCCAGCGCAGACGAACTCAAAAATGGCTGGGTACGATTTCCACGCAGTTTTCAGAAATTAGAAGGTCCTCGACCAGAAAACACCATTGATTAGTGTAGGTCTAAGGTCAAGCGTGCGGTGGATTGGCGCAATATTAGGCTGGCTTGCACTAGACACGTGCAAGGGCAAGGGGGGTAACATCGTGTTTAGACAAACAGACACCAACTTCCCACCAGCTTCCACCCGAAGCGTCAAGCACCGCTGGCGCATTGCATGCATGCTACTCGCAGCAACAGTTGACGTGGGGTCTGATGAATTATGGGGGGTGGATGGTCATTCGACCAATAGCAAATTTGCGTCAGAGCCTGCTGCGTGGGGAATTTAGAAGCACTACTTCGATCCGCAAAATACCCCCGACGCGCGAAGAAAATCCGAACGATCCCCATACTGCTATATGCATTGAAGTATGAATGAAGGCGCCACCAACCGGCCCATTGACGGTATTCCCTACCACGTGCGGACAGATGGGAAGGGCGCTGCGTTTCCACTCTGTTCATGGTGGTGCTTGTACTTGTACATTTTTCTATATTTGATCACCCGCGCGGCCGGGAAAAACAAGAACCGAAGAGCACGGCCACACCTTACAAGTCGATGTCGGGACCGCCTTGTCCCTAACCTTCGCCTAACCCCAAAGCACGGATTGAACGCTTTATCCCGTACGTTTATTTGACCATTTTTTCTGCGTAGACTATTGCGACGTTGACCAACCACCGACGCCGTCATCATCCATCCGGCCATTTTGTACGTACGTGAGTTGCTCGTGGGAGGCAACAGCGAAGAACGCAAAGTCCTACTGGTATGCATTACGCATTTGTCTAACGGACAAGTACTCCGTACACACTCGACTAGTGCACTGAAATAACACGTGGTGCATGGAGGAAATACTTTTGCATTATACTAGTACAAGTAAGAACGTACTTTTTATGCGTGTTGGGTCTGTGTGCTCTCCCTCTCTCTCCCCCTCTCTCTGCCTCTGCTTCTCTTGTGTCTATGCCATGCTAATGTTCTCTGTTGCTGTCTCTTTTCAAAGTGGCAACTCACGCCTCTCTCTGCCTCTGCCTCGCTGTCTCTCTCATGTTGTAATGCCCCGTCGCTGGTGTACCGCTGTCTCTTTTCAAGTTGTCTCTTCTCAAGTTGTCATGCTCTTTGAGGGCACTCACGCAACTGTCCAGCTGAGCCCCCCAGACATCCCGCGCCTGCTCAAACACCCATAGAGCCTTATCGTACTTGCGCGCCCGCTTGCACGCGTTCATCCCGTCGTTGATGCAGAAGGCGTCGGGCTTGTTCCCGAGAGCGTGCATCCGGTCCAGCACGTCCAGCGCCCCCTCCCAGTTGCCCCCCTTGCCCATGTACCCGATGCAGCAAGAGTACATCTTGGGGGTCGCGCCTTCCCCCGTGCGCTCCGCCTCGTGCAGCAGCTTCAGCACCGCGCCGAAGTCCCGCCTGTTCTTCATCTGCTTGACGGTGAAGAGGAACTTCCCCTGCCGCATGCTGGTGTCGTGGGAGATCTCTGTCCCCCCAACTCCCGCCGCCGGCCGGTGCACCGGTCGAGTCTTTCCGCCGCTGCCGCCGCCGCTGCCGCCTGCTGCTGATGATGACGATGTATCACTCGGCTGCTGCTGCTGCTTCGAGAACTTCTTCAGCCTTTCCCTGTTGCGGCTCCGGATGTCTCGGATGGAGGAGGGAGAACCGAGCGGTCCCGCGCTTGCGTTCTCATCGTGGGGCGAGAACCCACCCGCCACTCCGCCCGCGGCGGCCATCTGCTGGCGCTCCTGCTGCTGGCGCTCCTGGATCGACGTCTGCACGTCATCGGCAAACGATTTTCGGGCGGCTTGTCGCTGGTAGTAGCTCTCTTCGGCCTCCTGGTCGGCATCACGCGACCCCGCGGCCAGCAACCTGCGAAACGACGGCCTTCTCCTGACATACACACGCACCGGCGGCGGCACGCACTGTGGATGTGCGGCGGCGGGTGAGATGCTGCGCAAGAGAGGTAGAGGAGCGCTTTCGCCCAAGAGTGTAGCAGGAGGCGTCGCGAAGGCGATGGTACTCATGATTAATCGAGTTGTTTAAGAAGAGCGTGGCGGACTGAGGTGCAGAGTGCGCAATGCAGCGTGGGAATGTTTGCCTTCACCCAAACCGATATTTAGCTAGTCCTTCTCGGCAGCACGCTGAAAGTACTGCCACGCTGCAGTGCTTGCAGTCTGCTGTGCAAAAGACACACAAAGCAAGGGAGGAGGGGGGAGGGACAAGCAGTCCCCGGGTCTCCCCGCAGGGGCTCCGTCCCAGGATTTTCACGGCATGGGCGGAACGGGGTGTGATCGATTTGGGAGATACGTTCTACGGAGATTGCATCGAGATGTCGATAAAATGTTCTTTCCCGATCAATAACCCCACCAATACTCATACTCCAACATTGGAGCACTACCGCAAACAGAGTACAGAAGCAACTAAAGCACGACCGCCGTACCGTGGTTGGGTCCGTGGCAACTTGAAGAGCGCGCAGGAGGAAAAGCCGAGGTGTCATTGAAACGGAATAAGTGGGAAAAGCTTGGGAAATTACGCGGTCGAGGCTACAGCATGTAGATTAGCAACAACGAACGTCTGTCGGCCAACACAGAGTACGTGCGAAGCACCAGGCACAACCTTGTTTTTGTCTACGCCGGTCTCTAAGGCGACCCCGAAAGATCGAGTCGACAATATTCCGAGACTATGGCGACCTTTCGGCCACGCTGTCTACGACGCGTGAAAACAGCCGAGGTTGGAGGCCTGATTTCAAGGAGTGATGCCGTGGGCGGTGGCTTACTCCTCCTAGAGATAGATGAAGGTTCTGTTGTTGACACGCTTGTCCATGACCACGTTGAGATGGGAAAGTTGCTTGTTATTGCTGAGAGACGATCAGCAAAGGCCTGGGATTGATGAAGTGGGGATCCAACTTCATCTCAGGGGGTACACAGAGTAGACAATTCTAAGGGGGTAAGGGTCAGAAGGGTATTCCTCCTGACCGACCCATGCGACCCGCATCCTATCAAGAAGAAGATGTACCCTATTCATGCTAGCAGCCACACTCCTTAACACTAGCCCACCCTGAATATCATATATGCAGATTTTATACTTACAAATCAATGCTCAAATCCTTGTCTAAAGCATCATTAAGATTTTAGCTGGTGATTTATGATCATGAATCGAAGGTATGACTCTTCACAAAAAACCCAAAAGGAGGGTGAGTTGTAGAAATATCCCGAATCAATCCCCCACACCATCATTGAGATGAAGAATGCGAACGGTCACGAGACGGAACATCGACATCTCAATGACAACGCTTGAAGGGATAAAGCTACGAAGAATATACATTGCGGCAGAGCAAACTATCATCCTGAACAGACGACGACAGGGAAAAAAAATCAATATCCAGACGCCACACACCACTCTTTTACGCGCACCCGCGCGTATCACCGCCGGAGGAATGAGGGTGACTACCCGAGCGAGTCCAAAATATGGTGACGAAACTCAAAACCCAAACAAATTTCCGAACGAATACGGCCTTTGATACTGGACGCGACGCAAAGGGGAAACTCAACGCAATCTAGGACGTTAACGAAGGGCAGGAGAAAAGAACGACAGGCAAAGGCACGGAGAACGATGGCCAGCGTGCCAGGGTACCCAAATCGTATAAGGNCGAACTGTGCCATGGCTCGCTGGCGATACGCATCATCATTCAAAGGCATAAAACACAGAAACTCGTAGAGATTCACACAACAAGACGACGACTCAGGGGCGCTACTGCTGTGATGAAGGCGTCGCCCGAAGGTGGCGATGATGGAGACGAAGCAGAACGAAGTGTGGG